GTTTTATTTTCTCGACTTGTGACATCAAGTTCTTTAACTTCCAAGACAACATTCTCCTCCTCAAGTGTATTTTCCTCATCTATAGCATCATCAGAGTCCAATAATTCAAAAGTATTTGAAGTAGAAACTACAGGAGCAACTGGTATGCTTCTCTGTGGCATAATATCAAGCACCTTCTCAGCATCTGTAATTTCAACCATTTTGCCTTTCTGTTTAACCACCCATCGATCTGTGATTTTCTTTGGTTTGGTGGTAATCTGAATAACCTTTTGGGGACATCTCTCTTCAAGATGGTCAACTCTCTTGCACAGTTTACACACCGTCGGTTTCCATTCGTAATCCAGTTCAATATGACAGTCAATACCATGAATATCAACAATCGTGGAATCCGGCAACTCTTCTTAACTCTCACAAACTGTCCCTTATCCCTATGAGTCTCCGGATCATCCATGTATATAAGTTTCGCAAATGATGAACAAACCTCAGAGATAGATGTTTCATTTTGGCAATGGACCGGTAAGTCATGTATATGCAACCATACAGGGACGGTTTCAAGAATCTCTTTCTGTAGATTAACATTCTTATTCCATTTCTTCAGAACAATTGGTCTTCCCTCAAAAGTGTGTATTATAGACAACACCTTCTGCACATCTTCTTCAATCTTGAAACGCACCATGAAAAAACCATCTCTAAGGTATACTAATGTGAAATTTTTAGCCCAGTATTTTGCCACAAAAGATTTGAAATAAGGGTAGTAGGGTTTCTTGCCCATTACATATCCAACCACAGATGATTTCCAAAAACGCAACTTCTTCAGCAACATCATCATCTGTAATGGACACTTTTACACCTCTGCATTCTTGGTGATAATTGAGATTTTTGAACGTGGCTTGTGTATCATCAAAAAAACTATTATACTTAGGTCGAATGGGTGGTGAATTCTGGCAGACAGACCTTGCCGGCGAAGGAGGGGAGGAGGGTTGGCCCTCCTCCATGGTGAATCCGTCTTGGAGGAGATTTAAAATGTGATATTCTGTCGTACCATATCCTAATTCTGATGCATCTGTTTCTACTATTTTGAATGCTTCTGGATTTGGTAAATTAAGACACAGAAGTTCCTAAATTTATATTTTGATTTGTTTGACTATTTGGGTGTGTTCATTTGTCCAAGTAGGAGAATTGGTTTTTAGCCTTGTAAATAAAGATTGGCATATTTTGTGAAGATCCTTATAATGATCTGATACATAATTTAGGCTGCCTAAGAATCTTTGTATTTGTTTTTTGTCGATAATTTCATCCGGAAATTTATCAGCAAATTGGAGCGACCTTTGGATTGGTATAATTGTTCCATGATGAATTTCATGACCAAGGAATCTAGACGAGGTAGCATAGTCGTGTACCCTAGGCGTTGTTAGGCAGAGAGCCATTTTAGGCGGATAGGAGGAAATCGTTGTCAAAGTTGAAATGTAGGAGGAAATTGTTGTCACAGTTAGATTTAAAGATTTTAACTAAGACGTCTTCTTTATTTCTAGCATTCCTGGACAGTCATTCACTCCAATCAATAGTGAAGAAACCAATATGCCAAATATTTGAAAACTCTTAAATAATTGGAAAATGCCCAAAGTACCTGTAAGCCAAATATATATAAAAAAGGAACTTTTAATTTTATGTCTGATTATTCAATTAAAACAAGTGAACAAGAAGTAGGATTAGGTAATGCATTTGAAACAATTAAATTATTTGATGCAAGAGCCTTGAATAGGCATAGACAAAAATACAATTTTGTACATATAGGATTAGTTCAAATAGCAGCAAGACCATTAACCATGAAAGGATTAAATGCCTCAGTTTTATTGTGTCTTAGAGACTGTAGACATAACAAGTTTGAAGACGCCCTTTTAGGATTAGTAGAATCAAGTCTATGTAGAGGTCCAATATACTTTGAATGTTTCCTTGATTTTCCAGTAACATTAAGAGATCAAAATATTTTAGATACCTTAACCCTCAATGTCCAAAATTCAAATTATGGTATGAAAGATGGATCTCCTCCAATAATAATAATTTACAGAATTCATTACAAAGTTTTAACAACTTTTAATATCAAATCTTTAAACAAAACTCAACCTGGAGAATCATTGCTCGTCCAAACAGATTTGTCAACGGCCAATGCTTTTATTCCAAGGGCAATTTAATGGGATGAAATTTCTCTCCCAGAAAATTGGACTTTACCCCAAGCTGTTCCACCACCAAAATTAGAAAATTCCAGATTAGAACAATTAGTTCAACATCCAGATGGAAATGTAGACATATGTTTTTTTTTTTTTTTTTCGCGGGGGGGGGGGGGGGGGGGGGGGGGGGGGTTGGGAATTAATGTAGACATATGTTTTTCCTCTCAAAGGAGAACCCAAATCAACATTTCAAATTTTGACACTTCGTCGAGACAGTCAAATGGTTCTTTTACTCTTGCCAGAAGCTCTTGTCATGGCAGACTTCAAAATAACCTCTCTCAAAGAATCAATTTTCAAGGAAATCAAAGTAGTGTTCAAGGAATTCGAATAGGAGAAATTCCTCAACCAATTTACAACACTCAACCTCAAAATCAAACTTCCGAGCCTTCAGAAACCGAACCATTTCCCCTCTCCAACACATTCCCAACTTCAAGACAAAGGAATCTACACAATAGAAAGAGAAGATTTTACAATCAACAAAGAAATCCTTAGAAAGGATTTTTACTCACAATGATTTGACTTGGGATTTAAGAAAATTAACTTAAATAAATTCTCTATCTATCCCTTGTCCTTTAAGGCTCTGATACCATTCGTCGAGACAGTGAAATGGTTCGTTTACTCTTGCCAGAAGCTCTTGTCATGGCAGACTTCAAATTAACCTCTCTCAAAGAATCAATTTTCAAGGAAATCAAAGTAGTGTTCAAGGAATTCGAATAGGAGAAATTCCTCAACCAATTTACAACCCTCAACCTCAAAATCAAACTTCCGAGCCTTCAGAAACCGAAACCATTTCCCCAATAATGTCTCCAACACATTCCCAACTTCAAGACAAAGGAATCTACACAATAGAAAGAGAAGATTTTACAATCAACAAAGAAATCCTTAGAAAGGATATTTACTCACAATGAATTGTACTTGGGATTTAAGAAAATTAACTTAAATAAATTCTCTATCTATCCCTTGTCCTTTAAGGCTCTGATACCATTCGATGACACTGGACTTCAAAGCAATAGTAAAGAGAACAATAGAACAAATATTAAAAACTGAAAAATAATTTGAGTATGCACAAAATACTGAATTGAAGATTATAACATTAAAACATTTGGAAAATAAAACATAAATTTTGATAACTGAAAATTACAACATAAATCTTGTATTGAAAAGCTTGGCAAATGACATACTTACAGTAGTATGAACTTTGAACTTCGACTTTGAATACAAATTTGGAAAAGAAAGATTGAAAGAAGGTTTTAACAATACAAAGGAGAATACAAAATAACAGTCTGAACTTTGCTCTCTCTAATTGCCTCTGCCCCCTGCTGCCATTGGAGTCCTCTTCATATAGTAGAGGTTTGCTTGAAAGAAGGGAGCCGGATTCGAGAATCCTGGTTTTTCTTTTTGAAAAAAGCTTCTGCCGACATCTTCTTTTGGATTTTGCTGATGATTTCCCTGTCTTCTATTCCTTTTGAATAACTTTTTCTTTTGCTTTTGTAGACATCATGTTGTTTTTGGCTTTTGATGATAATTGTGCTGCATTCCCTTACTCTTCTTTTTTGAATTTTTTCTCTTCTTTTGGGCATGTTCTGGCTTTTGCTTGATAATTGTGCTCTATTACTGAAGTTGGTTGTTTTCTGTCTTTTTGTGCTGTAGAATTTTCAAGTACAAATCTTTTTTTAAACTCCATCAACTTTTGCCGTCAAATTTAATGTCATCAACTTTTGCTGTTAACGTTTTGAAGGAATTCTGATGGGTTTATCATTTTTTGACCTTTTCAAGTAGTCTTCAGTGTTTTAATGTTTTAATCTCCCTCTCTTTCAAAAAGATTTGTACTTGAAAATTCTACAGCACAAAAAGACAAAAAACAACCAACTTCAGTAATAGAGCACAATTTTCAAGCAAAAGCCTGAACAACATGCCCAAAAGAAAAAGTTCTTCAAAAGAGAAGAGTTAGGGAATGCAGCACAATCATCATCAAAAGCCAAAAACAATGTGATGTCTGCAGAAGCAAAAGAAAAAGTTATTCAAAAGGAATAAAAGACACAGATAAATCAAGCAGATTGGGCTACAAATGAATCGAGCTGAGTCAAGCATTAATTTATTTGGGTTTGGCCCGTTCACTTGTGGGTTCAAGGGTTTTTAAAACTTGGACGACTTTTAACTCGCTCAGAATGAGAAAAGTAAATTGTTTTGCGCTCAAGCATGGCTTGGGATCATAACGAGTTAGAAAAGTTGAATTTGGGCTAGACTTGTAACTATTTTTAAAAGATTGGGCACGGCTCGTTTAATTAAAAGCCAACCTCGATATCATATTTATGTTTAGGCGGGTGTTCAAGATCGTTTTGGCTTGTTCATAAAGTTGTATGAGCCTACAAAGTCTATGTTCACGAGCCTTCGTTCATAAACGTGTTCATGAGCCTATGTTCATGAACACATATGAGGGCCTACACGAGCTGAGTCTAACAATTTTTAGGATAGGATTTGATAAAGAAAATGCGTCAGTTTTTGGGGCCTCAAGCACATAGTTTAAATGCGGCCCGAGGCCCAAAAAAATGCTGAAATTGCAAAGAATGATAATGAATACAAACTGATTTTATTGACAATAATTAATACAAACTGATTTTATTTAATGATAGCTTGGATTTTAGATTTTACTTTATGTCACCCTTTCTGTAATAAATTTGATACTAGTTGACTTCAATTTTGAAGTTCTCCTTGCTTACTAGTGTTTTTATTTGTTTATAGCTAAAAAGTACTTTTAAAATGTCTTTTTAGAATGAATCACCTGGTGGCAGTTCAACCGATCATACTGTTCTCAGTGACGCGGAGCTGGATGTGCAGTTAGATTCCTTGAGAGATAAACTTGCTTTGGTAATAAGGATTCTGCAGTCGGAAGAACTCCCTTGTGTGTTTATCGGTTTATTCTTTTATTTTTCTCATCGAATTCCTTTGAATTTTTATTTACCGCCCAGGTTGGAAAGGAGACTACTGAGCTGAATAGAGAGCTCCAATCATTGGAAAGGCAGTCCGCTCTAAGCAATCAATATGCTGGGCCTGTTAATGAAGCACTACAGTTGTATGAGCAACAGTCTGTTCATGACATGTTTCAAGGTATTTATACAAATCCATTAACCACGTCTTGGATTTAGTAGCATCACAACAGCAACTTGTTCTATTAGGCAGGCCAGTAGCTTACGCTGGTATGACTAAAACTTGTTTGAGGAGAACATTGTTTAAATTTTAGGTTCTATTCCTGATTTTACTGCACCTTTATTTGTTATGTCGGGATGAGCTTGAACTTTGTAAATGTGCAATTTCTGTTGCTATGATGATTCTGAGAATCACTCGCTGCAAAGAGAAATTCTTGCAATGAAACTACAGAGACTTTCTGGCTACAGTAATTGCAAAGATTCTCAGTCAATAGTTTAAGCTGAACTGAAGTTTCTCAAAGTGATAAAATCTTCAAATAGATTATTGGTTCCTGCAGAGTTGACAAGAACTGCGTCAGAGCTTCGTATGAAAATGGAAAAGTTGAAGACCAAAAGGGTGGAGGAGACTCAATGCCTTCGGATAGAGAGGATGCACATACCAAACGGTGATTTGTTTAGAAAGAATCGTGGCAAAGGTAATGCTTATGAAAGTTGGCAAGTTAATTTTCTTATAGTGCCCCTTCAAGTGAAATGAATTTGAAGGAAATTAATTATATTAGTGTCAAATGCTGCATTTTGCTCTGCAGGCCTGTACAACGCAACGTCGGAAGAACTTCAAGAATTCGTATCCTATATAAAGAATGTGTGAACCTTAGCTATTGTTGATCAGCCTTCGTGTAAAGGAGTTGTGTGTTGTGTTTTTGTAGCCAAGTAAGAACTCTTTTGTTTTTGTCTGGATTGGATTTGTAATGTTTGCATTAGGAGTCATCTCCCACAGAATGAAACTATGAATTAAACAATTTGTTTTTATTTTCTGATGCACAATGATAAACAGATTTTGAAGTAATTGAACATTTGGAATTTTAAAGATGACAAGTGACTAGAAATTGAGGATTGAAATTCTGTTAAAATTTCGTAGGGAAACACAATACACCACTCAAGGACAATATTGCTATGAACTCTTTATTAGTAGTGTCCAGCAAATGTCGAGATCGAAATTAAATAAGAAAAAATAAATAAATAAATGAAACACCATTGCTGAAGACGAAAAAGTTTAAGAATCCAAAAACATAAATAATAGCTTGATCCTGATTAGCTTTGATGAATCCATTAGCATTGTTTGTTAATCCCAGTTGCATCCTTGATGGCATCAGCTGCTCCTTGTGCCTTCTCCTTCATCTGCTGACCGGCCTAGGAATTTAAAACTGCATTTTGTTAGTGACAAGTGTAAATTAAATAGAATAATATGATACAGAATGGTTATATAGGAGTTAAAACTTTAAATTTGCTCATACTATCATAACTGTCTTATACTTCATATATGAAGCATATATGTAGTTCTGTTATATGTTTACAGCTATATGTGTTCCTTGGTTTATCTCAAACCTCTGTGCATGATTCTTTGGCAGACCGTGCATTGTCTCTTGCTCTATCGGCCACTTGGTCTTTCTTAGCCTGAAAGAAAGAAAGCAATTCAAATTTAGCGTTGCACATTGTATCGAATGTTCATTGAGTCACGTCCTTTACTACACGATCATGTCATTCTAAGAGCCATTTGAGTATTTGGTAAGTAACAATGCATGTTTATGGCATGAATGAATTGCGAAACTACTTGTCTGACCTGAGTTTGGCCCTTGGCCTCTCCAGCTTGGTAGCTAAGATTGCTAGATCGATCAGCCATTGCCGTGTTCTTAGTTTTGTGTTGTTGTAAGGTTGAGCCAACAAGCTACTTGAGGCTAGAATGAAGGTTTTCTGTGAATGGAAATGAAGGAAACATGCTGAGCATTTATAGATCTTGGCACCAGGCCATTGCCTTGACAAATGTAGTGTGATTCGTATCGAGCATCCGACACGTGTCGGTCTTGAAACACAGGTGAGACTTGTGCCTCTGCAAAATTTGTGGGGGAGATTTTCTAATTGACTCATTCGATTCAAATGCAGTTGAGATTTTAGTGGGGGAGTCGAACAACACATAATGGGACAGTATGGGGTACTAGAAAGTTGAAACCCTTGCTATGCTTGAGAGATTGCAGGTGCCTGTAATATGCTTCCCAGAGATAATAGGATCCTATATTTTAGAACCAAATGGTTGCCATCTTGAAAGCACATACAGTTCTTCTAATAGACACGACCTGGACATATGTCAGGCATGATTAGAAGTGTTATGGAATTTTATTTATTTTTATTTATATTTTTATTTATTTATTTGTCTCTTCCCTAGTTAGACACGGCTAGAACGCCTTGGGACACTTTCAGGAAAATGCGAGTTAATTTTGTAATTATTTTTCTTAGAATAATGACATTTTAATGCAATTTTAAAATATATTATAAATTAATTATAAAATAGTATAAAAATTTAGAAAACTAGAACAACAAACATCTTGTTCGATCTAAATTTAAAATTAATGTTTTCATTCATGATTACTGAATAAAATGAACAAAAATAATTTTTTTATAATAATTTGTATTATTATTTTTTGATGTATCATTGCTATATTCATATTTTATTTTCGTGAGATTTTATGTATGAATGATGGTTTGCAGAGTAGAATGATATCCAATAAAGACGGTTTTCCTTCACTATGTTGATATATAAAAGATGATAAATAATGTGCAACTTTCTGTGAACACGTGGCATGAGCAGAGCATGCCAATAAACTAGCAGTTGGGCTCGAGCATCACATTGGCTTTGAAGCAGCTGCATGATACTGACATTTTGTAGACGTGGTTCGGTCTTCGTATATTTTTGTCCCACAGATAATATCATCCATCATCTATTTATAACCGTATCAAACATAACCTTATTATTGGAAATTGTGCCACGGAGTTTTGTCAAAGTATTACCTTGTTGACCTCACTAGAGAATTCAAATCATTGATCGAACTACCATATAACCTAGTCTTCTCCTTTTTTTTTTTGTTTTTTTCCGAAAGGTAACAGTAATCTTCTCCAATCATTCTCCCTTTCTTTCCACTCGGTTACACGTTGAAATTTTCAATTGAACAATTTCAGCCGTCCGATTAACATATTCCCTTGGACTCGTGTCCCTCCCCTTTCTTTCCACTTTCCACTCTGTTTCCGTATCAACTACTCCAACCCAGCATTATAAAACCCCGGATCAAAATCCTCTCCCGCGCAATAGTGTATGTGCTGCGCCGGAGAGGATTTTGTTCCATAATGCCCCACCCCCTAATGGAAAGGACAATAAGTTCTTGTATGTGGGAGCCAAGATTTTAACTTGTTACGGGGCACGGTTCAATATATATAACACCTTAAAAAGAAAGAATTTTAAAAATAAAAAGTAGAAGCAGAAGAAGAGAAAGAAAGAAAAATGAGAGAACTTCAAATATTTTCTTCGAAAAATATATTTTTTTTCAAGTAAAATATTTATTTTATTTTTACTTTTTTGGTATTTGGTAAAGGTCTAGGTCGAGATCAATAATGAGTCCATCGGATGAGACATGTAAAATAACTTGTCAAAAATTAATATGTGAGTTATTTTTGTTAAATTTTAATATTTTTTTTTGTTCGTAAATATTTTACGACAATCAAATACTAGAAAATTAAAAAATATTTTTTGAAAAATATTTTACATCCAAACAAACGGAACAAAATTGTTACTCATTTGGTCATAGAACCTCAGCAAGACCTTTAACACATCCGAAACTGAAACCTTTTATTCATATTGCTTCTCACTGTTCAGTTTTTTTTTTTTTTTTTTTTTGTTTTTTTGATAAGTAAACTGTTCAGTTATTATTTGTATGAATCTTATGTGATCAGTGGCCAATGATGAAAGATGCATATATTATAGATTTTTGGTTATTGAACTTATAACTTTTAGGTGATTAATTATAGTTTATTAAATCAAGTCTTGGCATGTTTCAAAACATACTTTAATTTGAGAGCATTTGGGTGAGTTTAAAAATCTAGAAATTTTAATTAAAAGAATTAATTAAAATATATTTAATGGTTACATTGGCTTGATTAAGTTTTAAATTCGATATTCGTAATGACTGGGACTTGTTTACTAGCATATATTAATTTGGGACAATTTGGAGTTGCTTTAGAATCTTGTGATTTAAATTAGCATGATTTAATTAAATTCTACTTTATTGTTCCAATAACCTAATTAAGTTTTTGAATAAATATAGGTGATGACTATGCTATCTCTTTTAACATGTATTAATTTGCGGTTATTTGGAATTAATTTGGAATCTAGAGAATTTAATTATTTTTATTTAATTAAATTATATCTAATTGCTCCATGGATTTAATTGTGCTTTGGAAGTTGTTTCTATGTTTAAATCATAGACTTGGACTTGTTGTACACTCACTTGGTTACATTTGAGCATTGGATAACATTGTTGTTATATTTAGATTCATGAGTTTATGTTTTCAATATTGAGTAACATTGTTATAACGTGTAATGAATCGCACACTAAAGATTTGACATTTGTTATGCCATAGTAGTTGTGGACTTAGAGTATGTATTGTATGTATTTCCAAATTTTGTTGTGTGTGGTAAGTAGTTGATTATCTTGTATATACATGTTGATATATACGTTGTTACACAACTTGTTGATTTTGAAAACTTGGGGATGTCGTTGTTTGACTATGACTAGGACATGGTTCTAGTACGGAGGATTGTCCCTCTATAGTCTAGTGCGCACATAGGGAGGTTACCCGTGGACTAGTAACCTTAAAGTAACTATGGTGTAGGTCTGATCCGGCGTGATGTCCGAGTACCTACCTTGTTTGATTTCGCATTTCATTTCAAGTTGATAGCTAAATGATGTTGTAATTTGTTGTTCCTTATTTGATTTCCTATTTTAAGTTTCAAGATGTTAACTTTGAGAAATCATGCTTTATGCGTTGTATTGGAAGTTCCAATGTTGGTTAAATTGTATTGATATCGTGATTTGTGTTTTAATGTTCAAATGTAACTTAGGAATGATCCTATAAATTCATTTGGAATATAGACGTTAGGTGGCATGATCTACTCTAGTTGTTTTTGTGTTTTAGATTTCAAGTTGTTAGCTTTGGGAATCTATATCTTGTTGAGTTGTATAGTATGCTTCTATATCATTTAATTGTATAAATATTATAGTTTATGCTAGAAATGCTCTAAGGTAGAGCCTAGGATGCTCTCTGAGTCTCACTTTGACATAGACGTTAGGTGGCATGAGCCCCTTTAACATGTTTCACCTTAAGGTGATAATTTTGTAAAATGTTAGGTCTATGCATGCTCATCTCCTATGAGTAGCATTATGTTACTCACCCCAAAGTTACTGAAGACATTTTTCAGGTACGAAGACTTGGTTCGTGAACCCTCTGTGAAGTCCCCGAAACCCATCAGAATAATCCAAATGCTCAAACAGTAACAATAGTATCAAACAGTATTGTCGAAACAAATCCCAGAACGCACAAAAGGTTGGAACCTGCTCTTAAAACACAAGAGCAGGCTCTTGCACACATGGAGCGGGCTCCATGCCTTCTTGGAGCTGGCTCTTGCTGGATGAGAGCCTGCTCTTGGCTTCCCAGAGCCTGCTCTCTCCCTCTTGAGAGCCTCCAGTCCAGTTTTGCTCCGGTTCCGACCTTCTGCTTCTTCTCCGGCTTATTCCTACCATTTAGTTGGTTTCTAAAACTGATCTTAAGAGTCCTAAGAGTATCCAGTATCACCCCAGTCCATTATTTAAACTAGTTTACATCATTGAAAGCCGGAGTGGTGGGTATCGACTCCACAAATGACCATAGAGCAGAAGAGAACCACGTAACCGTACCATCGTCCTATTTGCCACTTTCATTTTGATTTGTACTAGACATTAATGTTTCGTCTTCTACAAAGAGACTAATCTTTCGGCTACTATAGATGATGTTGTGCAAAAAATAATATTCGAGAACAACTCTCTGTCCTTTAGGAACCGGTACCAAGATTGGGTACCAATTCCACAAGTCTTGATTGCAAAAGAAGTCTAGTTTCCTTGTTTTGTTTAATGCCTTTTCGATTCAACTTTCCTTCCAAGTCCTATGCATGAAATTTCCTTTATTTTATGAAGGAATAGGACTTTGCAAACCTCTATATAAACCATGTCATATACATTGGTTTAAACACGGCTTTTAATCATTATTCATATATCATACAAAGCCTTAGGAAGTTTATCCCTCTCAGAAAATCAAAGTTGATTTTTCTGTTGTCTTCCTAGAACGTACACATATTCACCTAGTTAGGTTAGAGTTATGGAGTTTGAATCCTGATCGCGATCATACAGTTGTATTTACATCGATCAGACAAATTATATCTTCTTCTACATCATTCAGACGATTGAAGAACAGAAGTAAAAGCAATCACACTTTGAAAGGGTCAGAGCATTCGTGGAGTGTTGTCTGATCTACCTGCTACGTACTCTTCTACGAATATCAAGCATGGGCCTGAGATCAAGTTGCTATTGGACGGGGAGTAGCAAAGCCAGAGGATTGTCAGCAGGTGATGTTTGGTAGAACGATAGGGTGTGAACCAGAGTCAAAGTTTGGTATACTTTGTTTCAAGCATAGTGGATTGGTTTACTTTGGACTGCACAGTTTACGAGATTTTTCCCACAACAGTTGACTTATTTTATCAATTGGGATTTCCTCGCTAAAATTTTAGTGTCATCTCTAACTTTATATTTTGCTTTATTTTATTTGCCTGTGATTAATTGTTTAATTACTAATTCATATATTTAAATGATCATTAATTAATACATTCTTAGAATCTATTAAATGATCATCGACTAATTAAATTAACAAATACATTATTTAAATATATATATATATATATATATATATATATATATATATATTTTACGGATCGGATCGAATCAGACTCATGGATTGGATCGAATTTTTAACAGCTCAATCTGTGATTTGATCTGTGAGTTACGGATTCGATTTTTTAAAATCCGCCACCATATCATAAGTGATTGTATCATTTATTGGATTGGAAACCATTATTAGATAAATACAACATTGTCAGGATTTGGGGACATATTATGGATGGGCTGGCTAATAAGTTTAGTCTCATCTTTTCGTGTCAAGTCACGGAACCATGTGGATGACGTGTCATTGAAAGAATATGGCGGATAGTTTTTTATTGTTATAGACATTTGGTTACCTTGTTCTTCATATCCAAGACATTGATTCTCTACAAGTACTTATTTTTTATGCCCTAATTGTTTTCTATTTTTTAGATGATTTCATTAAAGGCTTTGCCTAATAGGATGTCCAACTCAGGAGAATGACAGCGTTATATCCTTTACAAGCCCCTATTTGAGCACCCTTAAATCATTGTTCTTTAGGTGACCTCGCTTTATTTTCTTAATTAAAAGAGTCAGCAAGCTACTGGAAGCGAAGCTTCTGGCTCCCCCTTTTCATTTATAATTCCTTCTTTTCATTAGAAGAAGGCTCTTTGGTGGATTCTTTAGATCTGGATAGAGTCCCCTTTACTTTCTATTATCTTACTAAAGCGCTAGCGCGCCACAGTTAGCAGCCCTTTTCTTATTATTGGTAAGATAGGGAAAAAAACTTTTCACCATTGTGTCCTTATATGTAGTCATGCATATTTTATGCTTTAGTTAGGGCTTGATCTCATATCTCTCTTTCATCTTGTGTTATATTGCCTTAGAATGTATGATTTGATTATTCTTATCCCATTTGATATTTGATGTGAGTTTGCAAGTGTGGTTATTTAAGTAAGTTTTTGATTCCAAATTTGGGGGAGACGTCTTTCGAATTGGATCATGACCGGGCTTCATGTCTTTCGCCACCACAGTATACTCTTTCCATCTTTTCCATTGTTCTTATTGCATATTGAGGATAATGTGCGGTTTAAGTTTGGGGGTAAGGTATCTTTGTTGCTTTCTACTTAAGTGTGAGACTTAAATGCATGATTGAGATTTGAGATCCATGTTAGTTATGACTTTGATCTTTTGAAGACTATATTGCTTAAAATTTAAAAATTGCTTGACTTGAGGTTGTCTCCTCCAACGTGAATGTACCAATTCTAACATGTTATGTGTCAATCCATCCCTACCTGCATTATCCAATTAAGATATATTATGCATATTTAACAGTGCATAGTTTACAGAGGTTGTGACCTTAGATAGACCTCAAATAATTGGGCAAAAACTTGAACTTTGCATAACAAACAAAGAGAGCCAAAATTCAAACTCAACAAAGCTTACCCAGATTGACCTGGCGATTACTAGACAAGTAAGGCTTAATAAGCACTCTAATCTCTGCTCGTGTTGATGGCCTACCAAGCACCTCATTCCTCGGTTTCACCTCCGCCGGAAACTTCCCGAGTTGAAACGGCCTCAGCATTTCCAAACGCTTCACTCCACTAGTCCCCAGTGGCGGGGAGTCGGACGAATCGAACAGATGAATCTTCTTCTTGGACTTCTTCATCGGCGCAGCCCCTACCTCCATTATCCCCAACCAAACACACCATACAAGGCAAAAAAAAAACACTTGGCAGACCTTCTTTGAAGTCCCTCAAATAGTGTGAATGTTGATAAAAAAAGATTTCAAGAGAAGAGAATCAGTAGGATGATAGTTGTTCTCTTTGATGGCCCATGAGACACTATCAATTGGACCGTGGTGGTTACCATCAAATCTTTGTAGTAAATGATAATATATATATATATATATATATATATATATATATATATATATATATATGAAGATTGAGATAGCATAAACATTTTAAAAATTACCCAAAAGCCACCGACATCGCCACCGTCACGGCCATGCAGATAACAGTCGTATCTTTACTATCATCTACGCCGCCGATGGGGTCGTCGATATAATCCCAACGTCCGGTGTGACCAAAAACTCTACCGTCTTGCCTTGCACAGGAATCTGCAAGCTCCTGGATCAGATAGAGGACTTGAGGAACAACATATCTGCGCCGCCAACGTCCGGTGTGAGGAACCCAAAGCCACTCTCGTCATTGAAATAGATCGTCTTCAATTCGGCCATTGGATCCGATTGTAATTTTTATCTCAAACTTTAATCTAGAAACCAAGCCAAGCGAGAATGACCCCCAACCCCTAATCTATATATAAGCGCTAATATTAGCATCATTAGAATTATACTCACACCCCTAAAAATTTATATTTATTGCACAAAGATTGGGATAATGGACATAATTACAACTTTCTCCAAAAGACAATTGTGCATGCATGGTATTTGTATTTCTATTCGGGATTATAGTTACTTCCTACCCTATCTAAAATTATATTTTCTTTATACATGTGGCAAATACAATGTATTATGTTTCAATTCATTAAGAAATTGATGTTATCTACTTGATTGCACTTTAAATTTATGAACATGATTTAAAAAGGAAAGAAAATGAAAAAGGTTTTGAGGAAAATGATTTTAAAAGAAAATGAAAAACGTTTTGACGGAAAAGGTTTTGGAAAGGGTTTGCGAAAACCCGGCCACCTAGGAGTTGCCTAGGGACCGTGGGGTTAATGTGACCTAGAGGGAATTAGGGAGACTGCCCTAGCATGGTTGAGTTAACTGGGCCTCAAATGACGCCCTAGAGTTGCCTTGTGGTCAGGGACAGTTAGCCAATCCTTCTCTCGTGTCGCTATGGAGCTGCCATGGGAAGGGTTGCATTAACGGTTTGGAAATGATGACGGAAAAATGTTTTGAAAATGGGGAGTGACATTGCATGACATTGCATTCCATAGCATGGCATGGCTCGTTATCAATTACACAAGCAATTCACACACTATCAGTCAAAATAAACACACAATTAAATCACATATTTCAAATAAACAACCAACTGCCCAAAAACAGATTTTTTCCATACCATTACAAGATAAATTCCAGAAATTCTATCTAACAATTTGAGTAAAAGGAATAAGATCAGGTGTGGCCTGTGAACCTATGCCACTCTGTGTCCCACCATGTAATTTCAGACACTTTCTCCTTGACATGATTGGTACATTCCAATTAACACGAAAGAAGGATACTCAGATACGAACATGGCTGAGATTTATCAAACATTGGCTAGATCGATTCATCTTGACGGCGCCTTTTTGGATAAAGACAAATCTGAGATATTTTCGAGATATTTTGGGAAAGAGACAAAAGTGATAGGTGGAGCTTTTAATAAGTGAAATAAGGCAAATGATATGACTTGGTGCAATATTTTAGAATTTATCTCTAATACGCTCTAAAGCTAACATTTGCATTATTTTATTTTCTTCAAGCATTATGTTAAATATCAATGAGATGTTTTGGTGAGATTAGATAGAGTGTATGCCTTAGTACTGTGTCAAACTTGAATACCATTGAGATAACCTAAGGAACTTGTGATACCCCCGAATCTCCAGATGCGGGTTGGCCAGGCCCACGCCCGATTACCCGAGGATATCAAACCAATTAGCAATAAACGAATACAGAATACAATTAAGAAAATAGGAATAAATAAATTACTGACAAGAAACTAGAATGATAATCCAAAATACTGAAACCTCAGAATAAAATTTTATTAATAAAGAATTATTCTGATACATCCAAATTCTCCATTTCTAATACAACTCGGGAATCTATCTCGTGGACCCCTACTAAAAATCCAATACGGAAAATGAACAACTGTAAAGAAATCCAATGTTCATATCGAAAAGAAATACTCCTACGTCGTCGGTGGAGTGAATAACTGTATCTGCTCAGCACGATCAAGCTCTAAGCCTGGAACTAACGAACACCTGTAAAAATAAGAGTGGGTTAGGCTCACATGCAAGTTCTATCCTAACTGCTATTCATATAGTGACCCGATACGTAGATACACCCTAGACATCCCAACTATATTTATATAGTTCGTAAATAAATATATACATATATTCACACTACAGGACTCTCACTGGACTATGATGAGGGTCTCAACCTGAATAGAAGGCAACATGCAAAAACGCACCCTTAGGTGGACATGAGTACCTAGACCTAACAGGGTATACCTCAACCATTATGACCAGCTATGCATCCCAATGCATATACGCTCCCTAACCAACAATCACGAGACTCAAGTTCACACCGTGGTACCATAAATGTATATATATAAATTCCCATCCAAACCAATGTAGTGCCGCTCAACTGTTCGTTGCCATGACACGATATAAAATTAGGATTTAAGTGTTTTAATTAAATCCCTATCCATCCTAGTACAGAAAATATAACAACCATCTAATATGTCGTTCAACTGTTTTAGTTGATAGGACATGAAACCATGTAGGATTTAATTGTTTTAGTTAATCCATTTCGTATGTTTGAACAGGTAGGATTCAGCGTTGTGATCTAATCCGTCCTTGATATGCCACCGTCCCATACCGGTACATATAGTGCATATGATCCGTAAATGATGTAACAAATCAATTAGTACACTAAATACAATCCACATAAATCCATGTAGCTGATAAAACAGAATTGGAACAGTTCATCAACTAAATATCCATAACAATATCCATGAAATTGCCGAGACAAAACTCAATCGTTTGTCAACTTAAAATCCATAATCTATTCACATAATTGATAGATAATATGCAATTAATTCTTCAATTAAATCCAGGTTAACTTCCATATAAATTACAAAACCTATGTTTTAGTTCAGCAATTTAAGTCCAAAACCATGTAACAATTACAAACTATGATAAATAGTACAGCAATTTAATATCCAAAACCCCAAAAGTCAGGTAATTGCAGAATAGTTTATATAATACTTCAGCAATTACAGTTCAAAATCATAATCCAGTTAATTGCAGAATCATATATAAGATTTCACAATTAACATCCAAAACCATGTAAATTACAACATATAAATTAAAGTTTAGCAATTTACAGTCCAAACCAATATTCAAATAATTGTAGAACAGTGTTTAACATTCCAGCAATTTAAATCCAGACAATAACTCATCTAATTGCAGAAAAAGATTTAATATTTCAACAATTAGCATTCAAAGCAGGTATAGATCAAAACCAATAAATAAATGGCTTTGTCATGCATTTAAAATAAGTTTTATAACATACTAAATCCATTAAATTGCTAAAATTTAATTGAGCAACAATTCAGTCTTTTGTCCGTTAACAGCATAGAAAAATTCATTAACTTTAGTCTGTTTGTCCTGATACTGTAGAATTAAACTTTAATTAATTTAGGGTCTTAATAACACCCAAAATCAACTTCTTAGTCCCTCTTTGAAGACCCAAACCCATCAAAACAGTTTCCACGCTTAAACAGTGTCCACTGTGAGTAAAAGCAATATCAGAAAATTGCAAAAGTGAAGAGAGCCTGCTCCATAAACCAAAGAACAGGCTCTTTGGTGCCTAGAGCCGACTCTTTGCACCTTAGAGCCGGCTCTAAGGGGGTGGGAGCCGGCTCCCACTTCCATGGAGCCGGCTCTCCCCTCTTTGAGAGCCTCCTGTTCAGTTTTCCCTTCGGTTCCGACCTTCTACTTCTTCTCCGGCCTATTTCTACCATTCAGTTGGTTTCTGAAACTGATCCTAAGGGTCTTATTAATACCAAAAAGCATCCCAATGGTTTGGTAACACAATTGGAAACAATTACAGAGACTAAATTTTGCAACCGAACTAAATATGCTTTAGGAACAAAACTGAAACTATTTTGCAATAACAGTTCCATTCCAACCCTTCTGTTCCTCTTCACTACTGAACTTAGGAGTCCTATTTAATCCCAGTATCATCCCCATGACTTATTTACAGAGGTTAAAAGCAATTACAGAAACTAAAATTGCTAACAACATAACATGCTTAAAACAGAAAACTGAAACAAAACTTACATGCATTATAACAGAATTGATTTTAACACATAAAGATCATCAACATCACATATGGAAAGCATGTAAGTTCCAATTAATAATTACTTAAACCCTAGAGACTATCTAGGTGCATTGAACACGAGCCAATGGGAAGGAGGAAGAAAAGAACTTGCCTGGAATAAAACCTCGTCGTCGTCTTCCTAAGTTTTTCGACGACATCCGTTCTTAGTCAATTCACTCTACCTCCTACTGCTCAACCTTCCTCCTCCTAGATTCGACCTTCAAGCCACGGCCAAAACCCTCTCTGAAGTTGCTCTGTTTTGTTTCCCCAACCTCTCTCTGTTTTCACTCTAAAACTCTCTGTACTCACTGCTCGTGAATAGGGTTTGTGATTTCAACCCTAAGCAGACTTATAACAGTATATCTTTAGGCATATAAAAACCTACGTCTACTTATAATGAGAGATGGAAACCAACTAAACCCTAGTCGGACACATACACGATCCATAAACTAAATACCCTAATAATTTAACCTAATTAACTCCTTTAAACAATCACAACTAATTTAATTAAAGAAAATAAAAAAAATCCAATTTAACCAATTAATTAAAACCACAATTAAATTACATAGAATAATTAACTAACAAAACAATTCAAAAACCCAAATAACAATTAAATCAAATTAAAGATTAAAACAATTAAACCAAATAAAGACTAAACAATAATTTAATCAATTAAACATAAACACATATCCACATAATCACATAAAACACTTAAAATAAATAGTAAAATTTCAATTATATCATTTTTAATTTTAGGGGTATTACAGAACTCTAGTAAGAGATCATATTTTAAAAATAATTGTTTATTATTTAAAATTAACTAGAGATCTATGGGGCTGACTTGGGTTGTAAATTTCAAGTTAACATCATTATTGCCTTGTTACCAAACTCGTTCGACTCTTTTAGAGTGAACTAAATAAGGAACCAGTTTGAGTTCACACTCGCTGATATTCTTATAGAATTGGTATCGCTTAACAACGATGGCATCATGCTCGCAGCACCAGTTAAGAACACAAGCCCCTTATTTTGAGTTTATGAATAAATCAAAAGCTCAAAATTGACATTCCCTTTCAATTTGATAAATCTACTATAACACACTTTCATTCATCGTCTCACCCTTCCCTTTATCTCTAAATTCTACCTTCAAACCAAATCCAAT